TCAGCAGTACGTTTATTATTTGTAGTGGGAGGATCATGGGAAGGTAATCTATCAAGGTGACTTGAGTATCTGGCAGCTAAAGCCTAGTTTTAGAAAACAATATGTTGCTCATATCACTCACACATCACCACAGCTGTGGTGTCACTGGATTGAAATGTACATTTTCACTACGGTTGAAAATGTGGTTTTGTAAATGCAGCTCTCTCCCTTTTCTTACTGGGTAATGTGGAAAAACAAAAGGAGCGGAAGAGGTGTACATGCCTGTACAGATAAGAGAATGGAGGAAGCGGCTCTTCTTAACGTTATGTTGCCAGCATGATGATGGGTGTCTATACTTGCTTTCTGAGCTTCTTTAATCTTATGTCCCAGAGAACGAGCAGTAGGACAGGTAGCCAAACAGGTGTTTCTCTGAGATAAGTTCAGATTCATGAGAAGCTGTAGCTTTTGATACTGTGGGGAAAAAAGAAGATGACTGTGTAATATCGTAGTAAAAAATGGTAGTTTGATTGCAGCTACATCTGCAAAATAAAGGTTTTGTCAGAGTATCTTTTTTTTCTGTTTAATGAAATGTTTAGCAATGGTGTCAAAATTTTTGCTGACAGGTCCCATCTTTCTGAATGGCTGAGAAGGCATTTTGTTAGGGCAACTGTGCCTATAAAGACCTCATACTAACAAATACTTTTAATTCTAAACAGCCTCTTAATTTTCACCATTTTTGTGGTTACTGGTAGTTGTTTCATAAGCAACTTTCTAAAAGAATGGGAATGGTTGTATTTGTAATATTTCAGTCTGTAATCAAAGACATATTGTTTTAGTTATACATACAATGTTCCCCAGTGTTTGTTCCCAGCCCATATTGCTCTGGGGCTTTCATAGCTTCATTTTTAATATGGGTGGTAATACATATTGGAAAAACATGTTATTCTTTGCTTCTCTTCCAGTTTGTGCAATAGACCACCAAACTTTCAAGTCATTGAAAGCAAGAATTTAGTAGGATTTAAAGATTGTCATATTCATAGACATATTTAAAGTGTCATATTCATAGAAACCCTAAAATCAGGAATTACTGGTATAAAAGCTGCCAACAAAAAACTGTAGCTAAACTACTTGGGAACACCTGGAAACCTAATAGAATTAAGTCACTTTAAGGAGAATGTGGAAGGTTTTTTGTAGTTTTATTTTTAAATCAACGTACATATGCCTGTGGTGACATAAGATAAATATCTTGTTAAATATTTTTATTTCATTTATAGGCTATTGCAAAATTGCAGTGATGACAGTCTGAATGTTGCACTTCCTATGAGAATGCTTGAGGTATTTTCATCTGAGAATACGTATTTGCCTGTTTTACAAGATGTCAGCTATGTGACATCATTAATTGAACAAATTTTGCACTACATGATTCAAAAAGGTGAGTAGTTGGGAAATACTCAAAAATGAAACAAAATGTCTAATACCTGAAGATCATGTTGTTTAATCACGTTTTTGACTTTACTGCAGTTGCAGTGAATTCAGTCCTGTATATTCTAACTAACCTGTGTGTTAGATGGATGTTTTGCTTTTAATGAGAAGACGGTTTGAGAAATTGCTGTTTGATTTCTTTTGATTGCTGTCTTGATTTCTTTATAAACAGGGGATTCTGTTTATAAATTGGCTGTTTTACTAAGTTTCTTACACAGACTTGTACCACAGATTTTGAGACCAGGTGGATATTACCTAAAAAAAGTTTTATTACAGTAGCTGTATACATACCCTCTCACCCACAGCAGATCTAAGCTTTAGTTGTGTAAAAGTTGGGCATTATGTTGCAGTACTGTTCTCTATATCTACTAACATTCATTATTATGGTAAATTAGCATTACTTTTTCACCTGCCTAAACCTAGAGACACCTTAGCAAATTGATGGTGACTTAGCTTTTACTTCCCTTGTGCCATCATCAGCAAAACTGTTTGCTAGACTGCAATCAGTTACACCTGTGCAAACATACTGGAAGTTAATGAATTGTGTAGTTATCACCAAAATTATGTTTTGTCTTGAAGAAACTTTGTTACTCTGGGAACGTGTGAAAAAAATAATTTGGCTTTCTGATACCACAGCTTGAGTTATCAAAACTTGTGGACAAAACATGATGAAATAAATGTCTGGGATCCAGCTTCATAGGTATATAACAAAAAGAGAGTACCTTCCAATTTGTTAGATAATTAATGGAATAATTCTATGTAAGTTTTAAAGTACATTCAGTGGACTAGGCTATCTTATCCTCTTACTAAGGATTAGGTTTTAACTACTGCATGTTGAAGTCACTATGAGGAAAAAGAATTACTTGTATTATAATGCATTAATTTTCCTTGCCTGTGCCTAGCAAAAACTATAGAAGTGTTTGTGTTTGTCTTATTGCTTACTATATTGTATCTTCCAGAATACTTATATTTGTTCCTTGAGTATAATATTTAGTCCTCACAACCAATATATGAGAGTTTATCAGTATGTTATATCATTAATTTTAAATATGAATAAACTTCAGCTTTCTGATCACTTAAAATGTAAACAAAAAGAAATGGTTGTTGGTTGTGTGTAACTACAAATGTTCTGTCTCCTAATAATTTGTGATGGTTAATTTATAAAGAAACTGTAGTCAGCTTTTATTAGTATATGTTTTTGCGTATGATTTGTCTTCCATGTGCATCTTGGCAGCATTGCTGAGTTATTCCTTTGTGGTGACTTCCACGTGTTTCATTGTATGTCAAGTTAGGTAGTCTCTGACAAAGGGTGTTAGACTGGACCTCTTGGTGATGCGATGCTACTTATGTATTTACAGTTGTTCCTGTAGTTGTGGAACTTGTGTTTTAGGAGTTCATTGAGCAAGAGGAAGTTGATTTAAGAAGAATGAAATCACATGATTCCATTTGTACTTTAGTGAGACAAAAATAGATTACCCTCTACACATGTCTTTATGGCTTGGGTGGTAATGCATTTTATTACTGTCAGAGAGATCCTTGATTTGGAAACAGTAGTTGTGTTCCTCAGCTTGCTAAAGCAAGTTTCTTATAGAATTAAGGCTTTCTGCCAACTGGACTCTTACCTGTATGATGTAGTCATGTTTTGGAGAAGAGGGAAACTCCATAATTTCTGAAAGGGGGGGAAGACAGGTGTGAAAAACATGACTGGAGTCACTCAGAGGAGAACATCTTCTTCATAGGTCACTGTTTAAAAATAACATATTACTCACTTCATCGGCAGGAGTGCTCGGTCTTTGAAAATACAATTGACTCTGAATGCAGTTATCTTCGTATGATTTCAGAAAGTGGTATTTCCAAAGAGGTTGCTTGTATATTGTATGAGTTATGTGAGTGTGACCTAGGCTATTGTAAAAAGTCTCCTTAAGTAAAGCTTCATGCAGTGAATTATAAAATTCATTCAATTAATGTTGAGTACATAAGTTGCATTATACAGAAAAGAAAAATAATACTGCATTTAAAAAGTTATATTTCTTATTTGCAGGCTACTACAAGTCGCTTTATTTGTTAATTAACAATAAGCTTCCCTCGAGTATTGAGTATTCTGATGTTTCTCGAGTCCCTATTGCAAAAATACTTCTGGAGAATGTCCTGAAGCCATTGCACTTTACATATAGCTCCTGTCCAGAAGGTGCAAGGTAAATAAAGATAATAGTAGATGTTTGTATACTCATTTCTAATTGTTTTTCTTGAGTGTCTAGCTATTATTTTGTTGCAGTTTGTTGATTTGTTTGCAATAGTAATGACTTTCTGGCAATGCTGTACATCAGTGGAACAATGTAGTTTCAGGTGTGTTTAAGATAAAGGCAATAAAATGCTGAAGACTACAGTAAACAGCATAGGGAACAGCAGGTATTGCAATATGTAGGAACATAAGTGTGGAAAAACTTAGATGAGAGCAGAGATGTAGCTACGGGAGGTGAATTTTAGAGTTAAAAAGAACATTGTGACAGGAGCTGCGGTTTATGGAGAGAAATAGTGAAGTCATAGCTTACAAGCAGAAAGAATGAGGTATGTGGACAGATGGAACAGAAATCAGACTGATTGTCTCATGCAATAGTGTTTCGTGTAAAAGTAGTATTTTTTGGGAAAAAAGACTAATTGTCTTTTTAAATATAGTTTTTATTTCAAGATTATAAACAACAAACTTCAGAATAATTTTCTATGAGTTCATGAAAAGTTTAAAGGTTAAAATTACATACAGGATCATCAGGAAAATGATGTAGTATAAGAAGTTGATTTTTGAGAAATCTGAGAAAGTTGGTTTATTAGCACAGGATTAATGGAGCACATCTTTATAATAGTCATCTTGATGGATGTGTTCAAACTTGCAAATTGATCTACTGTTCTGTGGATATAATTGTGTGAAATTTTGTTTGTATTAAAGACAATTTTTCTTCCATTTCAGGCAGCAGATTTTTGCAGCCTTCACAGAGGAGTTTTTGGCAGCACCTTTTACAGATCAGATATTCCATTTCATCATTCCAGCGCTTGCTGATGTGCAGACCATTTTTCCTTATGAACTCTTTCTGAATGCACTATTATTAGCAGAAAGAAGAAGTGATGAAGCCCCGTGGCTTTTTTACTTTGTGTTAACAGTTGGAGAAACATACTTGGGTGAGAAAGCTGAATGGCAAATCCATTGTTTTTTTCATATTTCATAGAATCACAGAATGGTTTGGGTTGGAAGGGACCTCAAAGCTCATCTAATTCCAACCCCCCTATCATGGGCAGGGACACCTTCCACTAGACCAGGTTGCTCAAAGCCCCGTCCAATCTGGCCTTGAACACTACGAGAGATGGGGCAGCCACAGCTTCTCTGGTCAACCTGTGCCAGTTTCTCATCACCCTCGCAGTAGAAAATTTCTTCATAATTCCTAATCTAAATCTACTCTCTTTCAGTTTAAAACCATTCCCCCTTGTCTTAGCACTATATGCCCTTTAAATATGTTGTGTATTTCCACAGTGTGGTTTATTGCCTAGCAGAAAGGACAGTTTGGGGATAAAAGTGTTGGGGAGATATGTTTTATTAGCTAGTCTTACCCTTTTTCGTAAAAAAGATGCTTAATTTGGTAAGATTTGGCATAATGTGTTTTGGTCGGGTATTTCTGCTAAAATATGTTTTATAGTGCAGCGTGATCTGGCTAACAACCTTTTATTTCAATATATGTGCTACAGGATCCCTTTCAGAAGAAGGACTTCTTGTGTATTTGAGGGTACTCCAGACTTACCTCTCTCAGCTGCCTGTGTCTACTGCTGGTACAAATTGTCAAGATGCAAATAGTGATTCTGAAGATGAAGATGAAGAGATCAGTAAAATGACAACTACACCAGTAAGCAATACAGAATTTCTTTGAATGAATTTGAATTATAACAGGAGCAAATATAGGCAAAACATGATCACCGTAAGGCCAGTATTAGATACACGTATTTAGCTATGTGTAGAAGGGAGCAGGTTTACTTCTAAAAAGATAGATGGCCACTCACTGTAAGCAAACGGAACTAGTTGCTAACATTAAACCGAAAACCTTTACTGTAATTAGAAAACAAAACTTTTACTGTAATAAGAAATCTTAAAGTACTGGTAGTTTGTCTGCTGAAGCAGAGAGCTTTTATTTAACAAAAAAAGTTTAAACTTCTCTTTAAACCTGTATTTTACAGAGACTCTGTTGTTCTCTGTGTTCTTTAAGTCTGTGATGATGCTAAGATGTCATGAAGCATACCAATCTGGTCTTCCAACTTCGTGTGTTCATTTTTTTTCTCAGGGAAATATTACAAGTCCAGCTTGTCTTTACCGCATAGAATTAACTTTCTGTTTAAATATACTCACTACCTTGAAGGCCTTCAAAGAGGGAACACCAGCTTTCTATAATAATGTGTAGAGACTGTATTATAAAGCAGAACCTTTCACTATAAGCTTCCACCAGTTAAATGAATCTGTGATAACTTTAACCTCCTAACACTTGGATCAAGGCTTTGAACAATCAAAGTTGGAGAGTCCCATAGATTATTTCCCCTCCCCACACCAAGCTGTGAATTCTGGATTTTTGCCTATCTCAGGCATTCTAAAACTTCGGGCATTTTATTGGTTAAGTGTTGAAAGCAAAAGCGTACCAGCTCTTCTAAGAGATACTGTTCCTATAATGTCTACTTACATTTCATTTTATATTCTGCCTTTTACCTGTACATTTTTAGGTGCAGTGTGTTACTGTTACCACAAAATCTATACAAAGATAGTGTGAACAAAATACTTAATATGACAGATATGCACATACCATATGTGATGTAAATACTGGCAGATTCTTCTTGTGGCTTAGAGTTACTGGTGATGTTAAAGAGGTGACTAGATATACTTCTGGTGCTACCCAAACATTTATTAGCCACCCTGACGTTTTTTGTTATTTGTTAGCCAATGGTAATGAAGTGAAAATACTGTTTGTAAAGGAGCTTACAGTAGACATCCATTCCTGGATTTCATGTCCCCTGTTGTCATGGGGGAAGAGATGACTAAAGTTGGCTCTTGGGTCTAACAATTTTAAGAATGCTACTAGGATATACATACGTGCTTACGTTTTAATTGTTGTATGAAAAGACTCTTTAAGTTCTAGCAGAATTCTGAAATACTGTATTTCTTTAAAAAGGGGATACTTGCTCATTAAAAAGACTTAAAGCAGATTTTGCTCTAATACGTTTGTAGGGTGACGGGAGAATATCAGTTCAGTACATAACTGAGGAGTGTCTAAAGAAACTGGATACAAAGCAGCAGACAAACACTCTATTGAATATGGTTTGGAGAGATTCAGCTAGTGAAGAGGTCTTTACCCTGATGGCATCAATCTGCCACACGCTAATGGTACAACACCGAATGATGGTGCCAAAAGTCAGGCAAGTATAAGTAATGATGTTGAACTGTAGTACATCTAAAATTGGTTTTATTAGATTTGCTTTAAATACCCTGTGATGTTACTCTGTTTTTTCTTCTATCATCAGCTGGAATAAATAATTTCAAATGTAAGTAATAATTCCAGGCAAACCGAAGAGTGGATTCATTGTGTTTCTTATTTTTCTTCTTGTTCCTTGTGCTCTCTCTGTTCCTTGTGCTAAATCCAGAAGTGTAAGCTCTTGGTTTGTTTAGTGAGCTGAAAGTAAGTTAGTTGAGGACTATAGAATAGCTACTGATCGGTGTTTGTGATCAGAAAATCACACAGAAACAGGGATTGCAAAGATTCTTGAAAGCAGTTTATCCATCCCCTAGCTCAGAGGCAGTGTTAAGTGTCATTCTAGAAGAAGTTTGTGTGGCTTGTTTTTAAAACTTTCAGTGATACGGATTCCACAGTCTCCCTAGCTAGCTGAGCACTGAAACCAGTCTGTTCTCTACCCTCTGTAATATATAGACAAAGCTTCTCTTGCTACAAATATAAATGATTCCTACCTGTTGAAAATCACTCTTAATTGTTTGGAAAGGGCTTTGGCACCTGAGATGGAGATAAGACTTGTTAATTTGTACAGCATTCTTTTACAAAGACTGTAAACCACACAAATGTTACTAACAATGGAAGTGCATTTTTGACCTTTTTATTATCAGACTAAGGCCCGTAAGTATTAACACTGCTCTGGTGCAAGTAATTTTGAGTAAGTATGTAGTTGCTGGTAATAAAGTAAGTATTTAGGGAATGCTGTAAACATAATTCAAACTGCATTGTAAACAGTGATACAGAAAACTAATTAGGTGCTATCTTAGCCCAGTGGTGTTTATAGCTGTTAGAGGAAGTAAGATGTCAGTGAAACTGTGATTGTTCGATTAGGGTAATTAGTTCTTTGTAGACTAATTGCATTAGAGCAGGATGTGAGACCTGAAGATCATAGCAGCAGTTGAATTAGTATGCCTGCTTTATTGTGGCAAGTAGTACATTGCCTTGGATAGTAATTACTGAGTTTAAACGCATCACTGCTTTGACTTAAGGTTTGCTGGTGAACTGTGTGGAAAAGGGTGTTTAATGAATAAAGAACTCACACAGAACTTTAATTGTATGAGCATGGCATCTATTTCCTCTGAGAAGCTATACTGGGTCTTTGCAGTTATTTGTGATAACAAGCTAGTTACACATTGGATAAATTCAGGAGTTATGAAAGCTCTACTTAACATCTTGTAACAGAAAGCAATTTACAAATTTCAAATTTTGAATACCCCCAAAATAATTAAATGTACAAATTTTAGAAATAAGCAGTAGAGATACTAACATTTTTGTCAGTAATACCAGTGAAATTACTTCTGTGGTCAAAATGAAGTTAATTCAGATACTTAGTAAATTAGAGTAGAAGATATTTAATTACTAGTTCCGTCTTCCAAGTCAATTGTAAGTGCTGGGTTTGCCAGGCATCATCATGTCAGGAGGTGTGAATCTTTTGTCCTTTCTCAGTGCATTTGAGACCTGGCCTAAGTTACCAAGCAGCTGTTCTAACCATCATTTTTGAGTGTTTTTCAAAGGACATTTGATGCTTGTTTTACATACACTAAATATTGTGCCATTTCAGAAGACAATGAAAAGATTTTTTTTAATCATTAATTGCCACTTTTTTAATTGCTTGATGATTTTTTTTTAAATTGCCTGAATAGTTTGTCAGATTTAACAATGGTCTTTTGAAAGATGCTTCACCTGTTTTTGTAACTTACTTTTAAATTGCTTAATATTCACAGTAAGGTTTATCTATTCTATTGATGTAGAAATAGTTCAGCAGCAATAGTGCATTTAATGTATCTAATTGCTCAGAAATGCTCTTATATTTTCTGTTTGGAAACAGTAATATGGTTGAAAATGCTCTTATATTTTCTGTTTGGAAACAGTAATATGGTTGAAAAGTTAGAAAAGCTTGTTAGCCTTTTGTTAGACTTCGTTTATTTCACAGAATCGTGGAGTAGTTTGGGTTACAAGGAACCTTGCTCATGTAGTTCCAACCCCCCTGCCAAAGGCACCTTCCACTTGACCAGGTTGTTCAAAGCCCCATCCAACCCGTCCTTGAACAGTTCTAGGGATGGAGCAGCCACAGATTCCCCATCCCTGCAATATTTAACCTGGAGTATCCCATGAATATTTAACAGCATTTAAAACTGTAATAGAAAAAAATTATAATTAAAGCCATAAAGGCTGCAAATCTGCAAAGTGAGGTGCTGGATAAAGAAAGTAGTAACTGAAAATAACTTTTCAATAACTGTAAAGAAAATTAGGGTAAAGTTAACACAGGCTTTGGAAGGAAGGAAACAACAAATCTCTCTGTATTGGTTTTAGTTTTGAGGCTTTTTTTGCTTCTTGGGGGGAAAAAAAGATGAGAAACTCATAGTATAGACATGTCAGTCCACTAAAGCTGAATGCTTTTTCTTCTTGTGGCTTCTCAGTACATCTTTGATTGGATGATGATGATACTGTATGGTGTTAGGAACGTTGGTGTTGCTGCATTAGCTCAGTTGTTTCTTTGGTTTTGCAGCAGAGACTTAAGAAGGAACAGAACAAGATACCCAGAAGTACAGTGTAGTTTTGAACATAACAAGCAAGCTTCTAAAGCTCTTTTCTGATTTCTCTACAGAGGGTGGTGGGTTCCAAAGGTGGATTACTGTTTTGGAAAGATACAGTCAAGCCCAATTAAAGAAAAAAGCCAGAAGACTTGAAAAGCGGTTCTAGTGTTCAGTAAGCCGGATAAGAGGTGTAGAATAAAATCCTGATTTCAATGAAGTCACTGGGAATTGTACTTGTTTTCAGAGGGGCAGGGCTTTCATCTTTTCACTGTAAAGTTGATCGATATTATTGAATACAGATAGGAAAGGAGAAAATATAAGTCTCAAAGCATAGTTGTCATTATAAGGAGATTTGAAAGACTTTCGTTCATCAAAATCGTACTTTAAATAACTTAAATTTATTTCTGCAAAATATTTAGGTGCGTGATTTAATACCACAGAGTTCAGGTCATCACTGTAGCTTACTGTTACATAGTGATGGAAACTGTGCTTGTACTAGGACTTCAGTAGCTGTCAGCTACATGATCAGTGCCCCACAGTAATTGCTAATCTGGATTTTACTGTTTCATAGTGACCACATATTGCTACTATTGAGTTAACATAACATTGCTAATCTTAACCTGTGGTTGAGAATTGTTTGGAAATTGACATTCTGGTGTAATAGGAGCAGCCCGTCTTCATAGGCGTGCTGAAGATATTCAGGCTTTACAGGAGGCTGTTCTAGTCATTCTGTAGGCAATGTTCTTAAACTGCTGTGTTTATCTCAAAACCAGAATCATTGTATATGAAGTTTTTACATTTTTTTTTCTTTTTTTTTCTTTATATTCTCTGTCCAGTACAAAGTGAGGCAAAAAGCATAAAGCAGCCTAGAGACTGGTATAGTTCGTTTAGTGATGGCTTTGCCCGCTGTCTTGTACCTGTGACACCTTGCAGTTCTGAAGTGTCAAAATGCGCTGCCCCGGCATCAGTGACCTCTTGCAGACCGTATGAGCTCCTCTCATTCTAGTGTATTCTCTTCATTAACTTAAATGGTCTCAGTGGGAAACAAGGCCCAATTTATGACCTAGACTGAAAATCTTGCCTTTAACTAATTAACTTGTAGTGGTGCCTCAGCTAAATTAAGCTTAATGGGTCATTTAATCTGTCCCATTGCGCAGGAGGAATTTGACACTTTTTTAAAACCAGAGGTGCCCAAAATACTGTTCTGGCAAGTAGACATAAATCATGTGGCCTTTGTGGACAATTAGATACCTACAGAGAGAATCAAGGTTCTAAATAAATGATTGTTATGTGCTTACTTTGGGGAGCAGATAATTTAATTTGGTATGATTAAAATAGATGCTTAACAGAAATCACTGGAGTAAATTTAACTCTCTCATAGCCTGTGGCTGAGATAGTGTGCCTTTTTTATACTTGAAAGGAGCTTATCCTTTCTGGTAGTAGAAAAATGGCTCCTCTGCCAAACTATAGTGCTAAATCTGAAGATTGAACTTAACAGAAAATCTATTAATGAATCCATTATATAAAAGCATGTATGATGATCTCAAAGAAGTTGGTGGTATGTGGTGAGAAAATTCAGAACCACTACATGGGAGGGGTAAAACCCCAGGGTTTAAACTTCAGCTGCTTGGTTTGTTTTTAAAATAGTACATATTGGAAGTGAAACTCCCAAATTGGATTATAACAATTTACTTAAAAAGAGATAATGTCAAATCTTTTTGATTTCTGGTATTTGTGTGTGTGTGTATTTTTTGTTTGTTTTCTTTAATGGAAGAAGTGATCAAGATTATATGAATGCTCAAGCTTTACATTAACTAATCTCAGAACTTTGTGGACTGATAATGCTTTGTCTTCAGGGTATGTAAGATATCCCCATAATGCATAATCTGTAAGATGTAATGGGATAGTTTATATTGGTATCCTGATAATGTAGTTTATCAGGAATTATTATCTTGTGCTGTGTCATTTTAATATAGTTCTATCTGCAAATGCTGTTTTCTAGCAGATGCAGATCTTTTCTCTGCCAAAGACCAATAGAGGGAGATTTTGACGTATTTTAATTCTCAAAGGTTTTATTTTTCACTTTTAATTCAACTTTTTTTTTTTTTAGGCTTTTTATATTTTTTTTCAATGTGAAGCCAAAAATTTTGAAACTTTTTAGTACAGCCAATTTCTTGAACTTTTTCAGTGATGCGACTTTTCAAGACCATCCTTGCACTGTAGTGGTGTTTGGTTTTTTTTAGGGGGGAGAAGGTGTTCTTTTTTGGTTACAGTTATTATCTTCTATTGTGAAAGCCAATATCTATACTTGGAGTGGGAGGGTAGTAGGTTGTTTCTGTTGTCATCCCTTTCGCAGTGAATTATATTTCAGGTGCACCTAGTGATGTAAACTTTTTGAAACACAAGGCCTAATTCACCTTTCTATGTTTAGTTCACAGTTTTACGTTTATTTTCTGGTAACAGTATGGAAAGCCTTAGAATTGATGAATTCATCTGCTTCATATTTCATAGGTATTTCATACTGACAAAATAGGTTGTATGATAACATCTTCTACCAAATTTGCATTTTTGTATTTAACCAGATTTTCAGGGAGAGAAAACGTGAAAGTTGAATACATTCAGCGTTTCTGGAATCAGGCCATGTAATATAGCAGTTGTTATAACTGACTGCCTGAATCACGGATATGGAATAAAAATGGCTAAAACTTAGGCAAAGGTTATTATTATAAGCTCTTAAGGTTTGTCTTTTTTTCCCTTTATTATTGCTGAATATTGCTAGAATGAAAAAATTAATTACATTATGATAGGTTCAGTGTCTGTAATGTTTGTTCATTGCTGCTAAAACTATTATATAATTTCCAGGGATGATTGTAAAATTAACAAGTTTTTACTTGGAAGTCCTATGAGACCTAACGGCACTGTGCCAAATTACTTTTCATTTCAAATATGAGACTGAAAAGTGAAGGTCACTGAGGAAATTTCTCATTTCAGAAACCAAGACATCAGACCTATCTTTCAGATAGTTAAACATTAAAATAGAAATACTTATTCTAAATTAGCTAGATATAATAAGCCCTTCCTACAGGGTAATGCATAATGTCCACCCAAATGTCAAAATAATATGACTTCAGAAGGAAGTAAAATTCCCATGTATCAAATTCAGGTTGGATGTTTTCACAAATTCCACATTTTTAAAAGAGAACTTAATTTTACAGTAAAATTTACCTTAAACTGGTATTAGCTACAGTTGCTTCAAATTTGACTCGAGCTTACTAATGATCACCAAGATACAATTTCTCTGGAGTATGTGAAGCTTCCAACTCTTTTTAAAAGTGCAAATCTATGCATTTAAAATCTCTGTATTGAAACAAGAGAGGTGATATTTCAACAAAGACCAAGAGATTACTTGTTTTTCATTTCACCTTCTTCTGCATGCCCCCAGTCTATTTCCAAAACTCCCCATACCTGTGAAACTCTGTCCTTCCTGTGCAGTGAAGAGTTCTGCCCTTCCTCATGCTACTTCATCCTTGCACAGTTCCTTGTCTGTGTGACTGGCTTTTGGTGAATGCATGAGGATTTAGAGCCTAAAGAAGGGAATAGCTGTGGGTGCCGAAGAGAGGCTGTGCTTCAGTGAAGGCAGCAGAAGGAGCCTGCAAGGCTTCAGCCAGTAAGGGAGGACCCAGAGGCATATGGCGCTGTGCAGTATTTGTGAGTGGGCCTGTAGGTTTTCTTGTGTTTTCTGTCATTTAATGTCTTTTAAATGAATTGCTGCTTAAACCATTCTCAAATGTTTCTACGTGTTTACTCATATTTTACTTTTTTCCTTAATGAAATGTGTGTTTCCTTTCCTTTTGCCGTCTGACACATTTTAATTAATCCATGTGGTCCATAATTAATACTGTTTTTTCAGGCGGCAGTTAGTCTGCTCTCCACATTCCCATTTCCCAGCCTCCTCCTGCTTGTACACACGGTCACAGGGAATTTTGATACTGTGAGGCTATTGATCTCTGAGAGGAGGTGCGGGAACTAAGTATCTATTTTATCTTATTTATTCTAATAGTGGTTAGGAGACCTAGGAAAGTAGCATTTAGGATAACTTACTGAATACAGCTCTTTAATACCTGAAAAATGACATTTGAGTCAGTCAAATCCTGGTTGGTTTCCTAGAAGACATTAATTGTTTCGAATTATGTTTGTCACATCTGTTGCTTCATGTGCAAAATAGGCAAGGGGAGAACTTTTAATTCCAGGATGCTTTTTATTTCTCATTTCTATAAAAATTTTATCATGTATGAAATAATACAGTTAAAGTCAGTCCTGTATATAACTGACTTGTTAGCATACACGTTTATTTTTAAAGGTGTATAACTAATTTTCTGTGTACAGACGGATTAGTTTATGTGTAGTACTGGCAGTATGGTAGCTGACCTGACAGGCATTGTTCCACTGATGATGTTATATTTATGTTGGCCAGGCTGAATATACCAGTAAAATTGCCACATAATTTTAAATCAATATTTGCTTCTAGTATAAATGAGCTTTGAGATATTTTAATCTACTTTTCACTAAAATTGCTGTATTTGTTAATGTCAGAACAACCACAGAAATGACCTGTTAACTAATTGGTGTGATTTTCTAGATCAGAATTTGAAAAAATCCAAGATAAATAACTCTGAGTATTATTTTTATTAATGCGTGTTTAATTTTCAGGAATACTGCAAACGGGTTTATATCATGTGGTTTGTTGCTGAGTGAATGAAAACTCTGTATTTTAGGTATAAGGATTTACATGCTTGGTTTATTTTAGTTTTCGACGCTTTCACCAGACTTGAGTAGAGTAAGAACTTCCATCTTGAAAAAATAAATTTAAATTGTTTATATTTGAGATATGTTTGACCGATAAGTTCTTCCAGAATCATCGTGTTTTGTGAATACAGTATTTTGGAAGACACAATTTATTTGAATTTTCCTTTGCAGGCTTCTTTATAGTTTAGCCTTTAATGCCAGATTCCTGAGGCATCTTTGGTATTTGATATCTTCAATGACTACACGAATGATTACAGGGTATGTATTATACCATTTCTGAAACTGAGTCTTTGTTAAAATAGAGCATATCTAGTGGAAGGAGAATGAGACAGTTAGTGGTATGACAGTGTTTGTGGAAGGTGATTAGAACCAAAACCGTAGTGGTTACTTAGCTCCTACGATTGCATAAAACAGCAAAATCTTGGAAACTGGATAGCTGTAAATAATTACAGGTAAATAAATAGAATCTTGATTTAAAATAAGGTGGATGTTTTGCAGGTTTTGGGAGCGCTTACTAGTTTCAATCTAACACTGAAGCTACAAGTACTTATCCTAAATGTGTGATATTTATCTCGTATACTTTGACTAGTGCAGAAATTGATGGCTGGATTCCCAGGAACTTGGGCACTTGGACCTGCAGATTTGTTCTGTGCTGACATGCAGATTAGTTACTCTCTTTGCTTTCTGTCTCTGTTCTAAACCAGAAAGTCTCTGCAGTCAGTAATAGTTAATGCCAAAGTTTATATATCATCAAGATACTGAGGTACTATAGTGACAAGAACTTAAAAAGAGTAACCTTATTTTGCAGGAATGAGAGATGGTTATCTGAGAGTGCTGTCCTTATTTTGCTGTAGGAACTACTACTGAATATTTTTAATAGAATGCTGAATACTTTAAAAAAGAGTATATAATTAACCATCTCTTTAATCTTGCATTTTTATGTTTTGAGGTCTATGGTGCCACTTCTTCAAGTGATTTCAAGAGGCTCTCCAATGTCTTTAGAAGACTCTAGTAGAATTATCCCTCTCTTCTACCTTTTTAGTTCTTTGTTTAGTCATTCACTTATTTCTATTCATGATAATGAATTCTTTGGTGATCCAATAGAAGGTGAGTTTCAAGCATACTAAATAACAGTGCTTTGCAAAATGTTTTTGTGTAAGGCTACGAAGTTCCCTGGACAATGATTTGCTGACATCTGTGGGGAAGCTCTTCTGGGCTGACTTGATGATAGTCCCCCGAGCATTCAGCTGTCAGCTGGCTCTTTCATGGTGATTGCATTTAGAAAAAAAAGGAAAAAAATGATGGTCTGCACCTTGGGAACCCTAGCTTTACATGGTCTGATATGGAAGTTCTTAATCATGATAATTTTTAATGAGTTAGTGAAGAGATTGAACTACTTCTGGGCTGAACCTGTAGTCTAATGTAAAAATTTAATATAGCAGGAAGCACAAAGCGAGTAAGAGAATATTATGATTAAAATAATTGTGACTGCCAACAATTACAAGTCCTGATTGCCTTTATGAATATATACTCACTCTGGTTTTGTGTGGTGTTTTGTTCGTGTACCTTGAAGTTTTGTGTGTGAATAGTAAAGTTCCTATGAAGTAAGTGGGGGTTTGTTATATTGGTGTTTGGTTTTGTGTGGGTTTTGGGTTTTTTTGGGTTTTTTTTTTTTGGGGGGGGGGGTGTTGTGTGTGTGTGTGGCTTTTGTGGGGTTGGTTTTGTTTTGTTTTTTTTTGGTGGGGGGTTGGTTTTTTGATTTTTTTTTTTTTATTTTTTAAAATAACTAAATTATTAAGTAAAGGTCCTTTAAGGAAACTTAAGCTTGTGGTTTGTGTAGTCGCAGGTCAAAGACAATCATCAATGATGCCTTTTACACTAGAAGAGCTTGTAATATTATCACGCTGCCTTCGAGATGCATGTTTAGGAATCATAAAGTTGGCTTACCCAGAAACAAAACCAGAGGTTCGTGAGGAATATATTGCAGCATTTAGAAGTGTTGGAGTAACAAAAAATACAGAAATGCAGCAATGTATACAGACGGAACAAAAAAGGTGGATTCAGTTATTCAAGGTAAAGTGTCAATTTTCAGAACATATTTCAGTGAAATTTTCAGGCTTCTGCTGAAGATAGAAGATGAGGTTCATTTCTCCCCTTCCCCCGTTATTATACTTCTAACACAGTTGTTACAAGGCATGTGGATTTGGGAAGGCTGCTTTTTGATGTGTATGCCAAACTGAGTAATTAAATTCTGATAATTGTAACTTTTTTTTTTTTGCTCTGATAACTCTTAATTTCATTTTTTTGCTTATCCTGTTTATGAAAATGTTACTGCATAGGATACAGGTTTTAACTTGGACTCCCATTCAGCAAGGTACATAAGCATGTCATTGTAACTGTATGTACGTGTGAAATTCTAACTGAATCATACAATTACTCAAGTACTTCTGTATTAAGGGGCTTCACTAAATTGGTACCATGCCGTATTATTTTTGTTGGTGTTTTGGGTTTGCTGGAGTACTAAGCAAATACTTAGCAAATGTAAACTTAATGTATGTTCTTTCTGGGTATCTACCAATGTATTTTCTGCTAGTTTTATCCATGGCCTCCTACTGAAGACATGAGTTAAGAGAAGCTGAAAATGTTGGCAGGAAAAAACCTAATATAACTGTTGCCGAAAAAAAGGAGTGCTTGACTTCTCATGAAAATTCTGCAGCAAACACATCTAGTCAGCTAAAATTGCTCATTAAAGAAGTGGGAGCAGAAGAAATGCATTTTCCAAATTGAATGCTAGATTTACAGTCTGTTTAATACTGGCGACCTCTCGCACACTAATGTTCAGTTCGAGTCATCAGCTGTCCCTTCAGGTCTTTTATCACTGCTTTTGTCAAGCTATCTATTTAATTGAAAGAAGTTAATTGAATGAAAATGATCAACTAAGCTTGTATTAATATTGCTAATGGAACTTTCTTCTTGGCCATGTTTGGAGAAAGATGTCATGCTAGACTTTAGGAAAGGCCCATTAAGGCTTGCACTTAACCTGATGGGCTAATTAAGGAATGCTTATTCATTCTACAAGTCTAAGATAGCCTCTATCTAGCCTATTCTGCCTGATTTTACAACACATTTCACTTATGAGCATAAGCATTAATAGCAGTGAGAGTAACTGATAATGTTTTGATTGCATTGAATACAGTCCTAATGCACCACTGAATTTGTAATTTGCACGATTGATCTAATACATGTTTGCACAATTTAATTCAATTACTTGTCTTTAAATTGCCAAATAAACTTTCGATTTAAAGGTCACACGTGAAAACCCCAGTATGTCTACTTTTCTAAGAAGGACGACGTGCCAGGGGTGTTACTATGTATGCAGTTTATATCACGCTACATTCTATTTCTTCTCTTTAGTTTGTCATATTTAATCAATCTTTTTATAAGCTGCTTATGGTTTAGGTGAATTTCATTTATTTTGCTGTCATTCAGAAAGCTGTAAAATCCTGAGTTACTTTGTTCCACTTTGGCAGCCAGAAATTAAACTTGTAGTGGAATTCTCTGAACTTGTTACTATTTCCTGGAGCCAGGGTTGTCTTCCATTAGGTGAGTTACGAATGTAAATCTTAAGGATATCTTGAAGGCTCTGGTTCTACTCAAAAAAGTAGTTAATAACAAAGCTTCCCTGGTTTACTCCTTCAGAAGTGTACTGTTACAGATAAAAATACATCACAGCTAAAGTTCATCTTATCAAGAAGACTGTTGTACACAGCACTTGAGTCTTTCCCGAGGGCAGCTTCAAAAAAGCTTCTTGCTAGTAGCAAGCAGCAATATCTTCTTCCAAATCATTAAAACAAAGCTAAAGTGGTTTATCATAAATCTAAGTAGAAAATACTTCTCATTCTTCTGCGCTGTCAAATAGGAGAGATAGATAAACGTAAAGATTTTGCAAGCTGCCTGCAGAGAGAAATGCATGTTCCTTCCCTATTACCTATGCCTTTAATTTCCTGTTTTTCCTTTATTTTCTTTCAATTTCTCACCCTTGCTTTGCTTATTTTCTGTGCCACTGGTACCTAATGAAATACATTCGCCTGTGTATATGTATATGCACGCAAATACAGGCTTTATTTCTGCAAGATAATGGTAAATCATAAACAGTGAGACTGCCGACATGTCAATATTTGCTAACAGATCAGAGGTCTTTAAGATTTACATCTTTATTTAGGATAATCCCTCTTTTTTGGTAAAATATTGAATAGTGTAGTCACTGTTAGAGATTCCGTAGAAGGATTTAAGTTATGGTTACATGAATACGGATTTTGTCAAATAAAAGAATTATTTCAGTATCTTGAGTTAATCCTATGAAATTAAGTTGCTAATTTTTCTGAATTTTATTTTTGAATGTGTCTTGCACTTGGCACTTTATTGGAAGGAAATCTCCATTTTAATATTATTTATTGAGTGGGTCTTTCAATAAAATACATTAAAAAAATTTTAGTCCTGAGTTTAGATAGCTGATGTTCTCAGTATCCATTCATTATGTAGAAGGAACTCCAGTCTCGCTTAATTTGATCCAGCTTCCTTTAAGGATTCTTCAACTGCTTGTAAAATATTTTATTAGCAGGGTCCTCATGTGGATAACTTTTTCTGATCCTCCCCTCCTTTTTTTATATCTTGCTTTTACATATAGTGGTAATGGGACCACAGAGCTTCAGTAACCTATCTAACCTCCACTGAATTTTATAAGGGCAAGGTGATGAAAATTCCTGTGTAATCACAGTTCCCTTATTAGCATTCTTTGTTCTGTCTTTATTCAAGACGCTACTTTACAAATGGGATCTTAAAAGGTCTTTTGTGTAGTATCTAGACACAGAATCCTTTAGAAGGTCCATTAAACTCTTTCTTACTCTTGACACCTGCCCGTTAAGATTATCTTTTAGCAAGATGACTTCAGAAAAGCTTTGTGTATGTTTTTTTCTATTCGTTTTTCAAGGGCTGTAGTTCTAAGTTGCAAAACAGATGGCTGCTTATTGTAGCAGTGATAATGTCTTTTTAGGCTAGTAATTTAATATTCTATTGATTCCACTTAATTATGTTTTATGTAGTGTTGCTTGACATGGAGTAGTTGTTAGTTCGATAGCTCTTTTATTTATTGTTGTTCGGTCGTCCCTTTTTTCCCCCCCCCCCCCGCCTTTTTACTGGATTGGAGGAAACTGCCAAGAAAAATATTAAAATTGCAAAGACACCCTAGTGACTATGATAAACATTTTTCTCAGCCTCCCAATTTTGTAATGAAAATGTGCATAAAATAGTTATCTATTCAGTTTTCTCATTTTCTGACTGTATGGTTATGATAACGACAGAATTACCTTTCATCATTTGAATTCCTTGTGAGTAGAAATAAATTCAACATAGTGGTTTATGCTGATGTGCTTGTGGTTGTGCATCATCGCTCACGAGGTAACTTTTGCTTTTATGTTTTGCTGCCAATTTAATGCTTCTGCCCTCTTCTCTGCTTTCTGAAGTTGATTTTGGCTTTTGTACAGTTTGCCATTGTGTACATCACACAATCTTGTGCTGGCTAGTCAGTTAATTTTATTGTCTATAGGCAGAAATACCCATCATTTTTTAGTTGATCCCTCATTTGCCTAGTGTGGAGTGATACACATGACCTTTGTCTTGAGATGGCAAGCAAAAGATTCATTTTTCTGTGGAGCATTTTCCTTGAGAAATGATGTACAGAAACTCAAGTATTTTCCTCCTTGTGGAAAAAGAAAACCTACAAATCAGCCAAATTGTTTGGAATCTCAGTTTTGGAACAAGAGTAAGGAATAGCTATCTAGCTCTCTTTTCTGAAAGCATACATCTATTCACATGCTTAACTTCTGAAAAACTATATAAGAAAATCACAAAACCCAAAACCAAACCCCAAACAAAAACACTTGTGTAAAAGATCATTGTATGAATTGTGTGGTTAGGTGTTAATTTCTTTAAATAAATAATTTGATGCTGGTAATGATTTCTTTAGGCTTCCCTGAACTGGCATACAGCTTTTTAGTTGTGCAGTGTAGCACTAAGATTACTTAGTCCTAGGTAGTCCTAGTTCTTAGGTTTTGGACTTAAATAAGATGGGGTTTTTTTATGACTTAAAAGTGAACCACAATTACTTACTCATGTTCTAAAGTATTTAAGAGAATTTTTTTGTCAATTAAAAGTAAGTAATGATTTCATATGTTAAAGTATGAATTTTATTTTATTTTTTTTTTTAGTCTTTCCTTGTGGATTATACAATTTCATTCTCAGTGCTAAATGTATATTGAATGTGTGTGTTTCTGGCACCTAGGTCATCACAAACTTAGTGAAAATGTTGAAATCTAGAGATACAAGGAGAAATTTCTGCCCACCAAATCACTGGCTCTCGGAACAAGAAAACATTAAAGCAGATAAGGTAAGAGTAATACCATTTTTCCACATAGCGTTACAGGTGCTAAAGTTTCGGTGGTGAAGTGTTTGATTCTTGACAGTATCAGTGGTGCCACACAGATTTAGTTTGGTTTAAAATCTGGAGTAATGCTGCTTTTCTCTAATGTAAGCCTGTTGAATCTGTTAAACTTTTCTGTTAAATCACATTTCCAATCCATGAAGTATGCACTGTATGGTGCAGCAGTGTAAGTCATCTGCATTTGTAGCAGGGGAGAATTGAAAATCTGGTAGCGTTTTGCTGCATTTTATTTTCTAGTTATTTAAAGTGTTTCTCGTAATAAAAATACTAAATAAAAGAATTGCTCTACAGTGGGGAAAAAGCCCCCTCAAAAATCTCTTCCAAAATAAAAGAAAATTCAGTAGCATTTTCTGTACTTACCTCATGTAGAAATTACGTCTTTTTTCCCTTAGAGCTTTTAAAAAAGATTAAGCTTAAAATGTGTGTGTGTGCAAAAGAAAACACTAATAGGAATGTGCAGGTACAGCTTTCAAATCATTGAAAACTTGGATGTTAAGAAGCTAGTTACACTTCAGATAGGCTACCTTGTAATTTCTTAGCAGTTGGAAGTTTTGCATGGAATAGTTAACAGTGAACTCTTCTGTTTATTTTTGATGATTGCGTATTTGCTTGCTTTGTGTTCAAGATTTCTATTGCTGTGTGACAGTTCTCTCTAATTCTTAGGAAATAATACCTAGACACCTTAGTGAAAGTAGTAGTGGTCTTAAACTGTGGTGCTAACCAGTACAAACAGAATTTGACACCTCAAAAATCAAACTCAGCTTCTCTAATATCTTAAATACCAGAATTTAATGTAACATTGTATGGTATTTTTAAATGATAACTGGACTTTATATTACATTGTTAATTTTGCAGCTCAGCTTTAAGGCTCAAGAATTAAGGAAGAGTGATTAGAAATGAAGATTCTTATACATACAGACACACTCTTGGATGAGACAACTTTGTGTATTTATAGAATTTATGATAAAGTGTTTATAGTAAAGTGTAATATGTAATTAGATATTATTTAATTGTAAAATACTGTTATCTGTTAGGTTACGCAGCTGTATGTGCCATCTGCCAGGCATGTGTGGCGAGTCAGAAGAATGGGAAGAATAGGACCATTGCAGTCTACTTTGGATGGTAAGATGTGGTCTATGCAATGTTTGTTTTGCTAAGTCAAAAAAACATACTGCCTTTTATAAAGCTTGGTTGAGTATTTTGTATAAAAGTCTTATTGATAGCCAAAAGCAAGGCAGTCTTTCATAGTTTTGTTTCAGATACTTAAAAAAAAAAAAGTAATTTGTATACACATGTATGAGATTCTCTTTTAGGATATTTAAGTATTGGGTATAAGCTTTCCCCAAGCTTCTGCTTGCATCAATGAGGGGAAATGATGAGGTGGACAAATTATATGTGTTAGAAACATACATTTTAACATGTATAAAAGGCAGCTGTGTAAGATGCAAAATTAATAAAGTTCCAGAAGATGTAAAGCACTGAGGTTTTGCCTCAAGAGAGTTCTTTATTGTATATTAAGGATTGTAGTGGTAGGACAAGGGGTAATGGCTTCAAACTTAAACAGGGGAAGTTTAGATTAGATGTAAGGAAGAAGTTCTTTACAGTGAGGGTGGTGAGGCACTGGAATGGGTTGCCCAAGGAAGGGGTAAATGCTCCAGCCCTGGCGCTGTTCAAGGCCAGGTTGGACAGAGTCTTGGGTGACATAGTTTAGTGTGTGGTGTCCCTGCTCATGGCAGAGGGGTTGGAACTAGATGATGTTAAGATCCTTTCCAACCCAAACCATTCTATGATTCTATGATTAAACTGTAACAAACAAGCTCTAGGTACCATGATAAGTGTTAATTACTGTTTATGAATATTATCTCTAATTAGATAAGGCAGAAACTTAACCCCTTGAATTACTCAAAGTATCTGGACTTAATGGAACTTCCAAAGAAAGATGAGAGAATGGGACAAACTTAGCAATCAGGGTAAATTTCCATTAGTTCAGTTGTGTCAGTGTGCTTTCTTACATAGCCTGTCAATTTCTTTCAGCTTTTCATACCTTTGTAGCTTCACTAGTCTAGAATTTTACCTTGCTATGCTCAGGTAAAATAATCATTAAATTACTAATACTTGTGAAGATTTAATAATGAATTAGAAATGGGGTCTTTAAGCAGTAAAATGATTCATCTGTTAGAGTCCATAGTCTCTTTCAAGATGATGTAATCTGCTTGAGTATCTTAGCCAGGTACAGTAGATCATTTAGAGAAGACCACAGCCTTTGAATGCTGCTATAGAGTTGTACAGAATTAAGGTCTTTGCCCAAGGTTGAAATCGAAGGACTTCTTATAATGATTTATTTCTTAAAAATAGGTTTGATGGTATAAATTTACTTTGATTACCGTATCAATCTAGTTGCCAGCTAACAGCTAGTTGGTCCAGTGTAAGTATGTCTCAGAATTTTGAATCAAATATTTTTTCAGTTTAGTTTCTTTCTTCAGAAATCACCTATTCTAAGTGATTGATAATAGGGAATCTTAAAAGTAGGTGTTTTAGCCAAAATTGCTAGGCTTCAACAGGCCTGTATCCTGTGTACCTTACAGACTCTACGTCAGTAATCCCTGAAACTTCCAGATTCCCTCCTGTGCTACTTGTCCTTCCCCTCATACGTACAGTATCCTGGGCTCTCTCCCTTGTCTTCCTTCTGTAATAGCACCAGTTCCCTCCATTTCCTTAACAGTCTTGGTTGGGGCAGTTGGTGGATAAGGAATGCAAGTACTATGGTTGGTGCAGAGCAGCTACATGCCCTCCTTTTGCTGGCTGGCTGTCAGACAAGCTGACACACTGAACAGAGCAGATAGCTGAGCTCTCCTTGCTATTTCTGTAATCAGGTCACTAAAGGAATTTATCTTCTCTGTCCAGTTGAAAATGTTACCAAAACTTAGGTTTTCTAAACCTCTTATTCTCTGTCAAAGTTAAAATTCAGCTGGTTAGCTCAGAAGGTGTGTTGGAGGCAAGATGGTGAGGAAGGATGACACTTTGTTCATGTAAGTCTAATTTTCATATGAAATCAGGCTAAAAAAGGTGCAGTCGACATGAATGTGTGAAAACAAGCAGGTAACAATGTGCACATGACTCGTTTAATCCCTCTTGACTCCATATGGGTTGAAGCCAATTAGCATGAAAGTACTGCTGAATCACATATGGTCATGTTTATTTGTGCTTTTTCATTTACTTAAATGGCAGACTTGTGAGTTCTAAATGCCCTCTGTATTGATGACTCCATCCCATATTTCTCTTTAAAGAAAAAAGCTGTGATGGAGAAATGCAGATAAAATTGACTAATTGACTGGAATAATTGAACTGTCGAAGTCATGTGGTAGTTTACCTTTGCTGTACATGCACTTTTTATTTAAAATGCTTTTAACTGTTAGCTTAATAGGCTGCATACATTGACTTTAATTAAAAATGTTTACTAAGCCAACTAAAGGTAATCACAGATAAGCATTTTATCAGAAATTCCGAAGGCTTGCAATGTTGAAGCCTGACCTGAATGAATATACATCAAGTATAGTGATGTTTTGGGTCACGTCATCTTAAATTGGTGCTTAAAATATCCCTACTTAAAGTGCTTTGAGGAGTAAAAGAAAAAAAGAACATTGAAGTGGTGTCCAGTTGCAGCAGTGCAGCAAGATGCTAGGCACCACAGGTAAAGAAGCCAAAGGAAAAACTCAAAACTGTTATCCTAAATTTCCAGACTGGGTAGTAACGTGAAGCATTTACTTCAGTTTTGTAACATGGACTATGAATAGTCTAGACTCTGGAGTCTTTTTTTTGATAAGGTGGCTATTAAACATGAAAATGGAACAGCTAAGGAGTTCTGGGTTTTGTTTGCTCTGTAGACTGAATCAAGGTGGACCTTTAACAACAGTGTCCAGTCAGTGGACAATAACATTTTGTTTTTGCTGCAGTTAATCAATTTACAGTTAGATATGTGCTCAGCAACTGAGTTTCTTCCCATGAAGTTAGAGCAGAATTGTCACTTCTACTGTGCATCACCCAAAGATGAATCGTTTCCTAAAAACATCTTCTGTGGGTATAAGAAGGTTCAAAGGAACTGCATGATAGCTTGGGAAGCGCAGGCGCCTAAGTCTCTGTGTTGCTGTTGCTGCTTCAATTCTTTTCTAATCTTTCTTTTCCTAAGCACATTACACAGTTTCTTGATGTTCTTTTCACTATTTGTGCAAGGACTAGGATTTAATGTGATCCACTGTGACCTTGCTGTTGGGAGAGAAAACTCATTGAAATGTTATCTTTGTGTTGATTTCATTAGATTTGGTTTAATTCTTTAGGCTTTATGCCTAAAATGATTTGATTGAAAGTAGATGTTATAATTGAAAGCACAATACCTTTAAACTTTTATGATCATTGGGATGGGGATATTGTGTATTCCTGCGAGAAAAATTCTAATTGCTTACAACTTCTTAATTGTCTTCTATCATGTATTTTTCTTAATTTAAAAATAAAAATGTCAATTTCAAGAAAATAACATTTCCTCTGAATAAAATAAAAAATACAGGAGGACTTGTTTTTATACATACTTTGTTTTCAGTGTGTTTTCACTACTTAGTTTTCAGTTTGCTTATAGAAACTAATGTTTAAAGAAAGGTAAGCCTGTGTGTCACTGTTCAGTAAACAAACTATTTTAATGTATATATTTTTTATCCAAAGTAAATTGAGTCACTTGACACAAAATAAACGTGTTTTAAACAAATGTTCTTTCCAAAATTTTAAAAATTATTATTTCTATTTTAAGTGGGTTTGGAACCAGCACCTCTTTCTGTATCTGAAGAACGACAACTTGCAATTCTGACAGAGCTACCTTTTGTAGTTCCATTTGAAGAAAGAGTAAAGGTACCTAATTTCTCATTTAATATGCAATTGTTTTTTTGGTTTTATGCTTTCAGTAAGTGTAAAAAAAACCCCAAACACTTAGCTAAGTATAAACTCACCCTAGTTAAGTTTCT